TCCAGAATTCAACCAAAAGAAAAAGGAGCTCAACCCAGAAAAAAGGGCCCACCCATCCATGTGTACAAGACATGCTTCTTGTACATGTGAGCAGCATGCTGAATATAAAAATGTGTGTATGTGGTGTGTTCATGACTTCACGTGGTAAATTGACTCTTCCCTAGTAGTTCATTTATATGACTATAGCCCACACATGGAGCATAAGGGAGTTTTTTCTTGCCTATGTAGTCAGAGAAGAAAATTAACTTCCCTGCAGAAGGGCCCATCCTTGAGGCTAGGTACCTAGCTGGTATATATTGTCAACATTGAAAGTAAAGATTTTTTTCATGTGATTCAGACACTTAAAGATGGATGTTTAGCTGTTATCTCAAATGATTTCCTGAGTAATGTTGATCACTTAGATACCAAGTTGATGGGTGTTATCAAAACTCCCAGGAAAGATCAATCAGTAGTATTAAAAGGAAATAATATAACACAGCATGGGAAGATCTGGAGAGGATTGTAAGCAAGTGCTTAATTCATTTTTATGTTCTTATATTGCTTACCTGCCATTCTATCTGCCCAGGTGCCTTTATCCATTGCCTTCAAGACTCTGTCTTGGAAGGGCAGCATTGCTTACATCTTGTACAGGTTTTCTTTTGATGTGATCATGTTGATTGCCATGTAAAGTTAGCAACTCATTGCTCAGGCTTACTTGTACTCCCTGTGGCGGGCCAGTAGGGGGTGCTCCTACGTTGAGCCTCCCACCTCACTGTGCCCGACCACCTTCCAGGCTCCCTGAGTGCCTCCCTGGGGGCACCTCACATCTGGCCGACCCCCTTCCTGGAGCACACCCGCTCCTGGAGCACACCTGCTCCCTGGAGTTAAAACTGCCACCACCCAGGGCTGGGCTTGATTCTGGCTCTGTGTCCCCTGGGTAACACAGGCCTAGTAGCCCTCAAGGGTACTTGACTCACTTCAAACACTTGGAGGTGCTTCCCTCAGTCAGAAGCACACGTAGTGGTCTCTTTTAGTCAGCCGAACCAAGGGGACCTCAAGGCATAATCTAGACCCACTCCCAATAAGTCTCCCACGCCAGGTACAAAAGAGAACTTTATTGGTTGCAAGGGCTAGGGTTGGAATAGGGTACTGGGTAGAGCAATATCAGAGAAATCCCATAGAGCAAACTGGCATGACTGGGTAGTCTTTGATCATGCATCTGAGTTACTGCAAGCTATATATCTAGGTGGATCTCAGCTTACTCACAAGTATCATTTAGAGGCAGGTGGAGATTCCCTCTGGAGGCAGGCAGTTCCTTGATCATGAGTTTTGAGAGAGAGACCAAGTTTCTGATGGTCCAGCTCTTCTCTCTCTCTCTGAGTCTTCCTCATGGCTGCTGCCCCTCCTCCTGGGCAGTCCTTACCTTATATAGCCCTTATGACCTCATTTACCTGGTCCAATGGAGGCCAGCACCTGCTGGCTGTGAGCCAACCAATTTGATGCCAGTCAGGTAGGCAGAGGGAGCAGATTTCCTCCCTCCCTCAGGAATGTATCCAGCTCAGGTTACCTAAAGAGATAGGGTAACGTGTGTATCCTCTGCTGGGCCCATCCTAACCAAATTGTCACAGAACAGAGTTTTTGGGGAGAAACCGAGGTGACCTTCTGCCACACTCCCCATGCATCAGAATGTGTGTAGTAGAAAAACTAGAAATAGAGTAAAACTCCCAGTTTTACCGATATACTGAACTGGTATTAATAGCAGTGTGACATTTCAGCCGGATTTGTATGAGAGATGCATCTTGAAAAAGCAAGTCAGAACATCACTCAAGTGCAGAGTGCTTTTGAGACAATTGAGACTAATGCTTGAAAACGTGGAGCTCTTTAACTCTATGTACCCCACTCTTCAGAACCATACATGCTTCTGACTTTCCAGTGTCAGAAGCCAACCCACGAACTTGTGCAAAATAAAAGCCAGCCTCCAGTGTGACCTCTTCCCAAGTCATTCAGCATGTGCAGAACAATTCTCATTCCCAATGCATTGGCTACCCATATGCCAATCATATGTAGCATCTCTTCACAGTATTGTGGGGTGGTTCAGCTGTGGGCAAGGGCCATGAATTCAGTGGTTTGAATCAGAAAGTCACCCTTTCTGGCTTCACCTCCAAGCATCTGTTAAGTATGACAGTGCTGTTGGAAATGCATTAATTCTCTATATTGCAAACACCTGGTGAGTGAGCAGGGACCTTTTATAATTACATTTAAAAAATGGGTATGGAGGTAGAACTTGCATTATAGTAACAGGTGTTGAAGACTGTGCATGTGTTCATGTGTTTAGAGCACAGCCGGGTAATTATTTCAGCTGGAGGGCCGTTTAATGACTTTTGTTGAGCTGTCGAGGGCCGCATGGGTAGCCCCACCCCCTGTTTGCCATATTGGGCCCAGAAGTCCCACCCCCTAACCCCTGACCTTTGCATTGGAAGTCCCTCCCCTTCCCCCCCTCCCTCCAAATACTCCTTTTGGGAGGGGAGGGTTGCCAACTTGGAACCAGAAAAAAATAAATCATATGCTAAAATTCAAATATCTTACTATAACATATTTTAATTAAAAAAAAAATATATATTTGTCATGATTTGTGTTTGTGTACTGTATATAGAGGGCTTGCATAATAACTCAAAAATAAAGTCTTATTCCTGTATATTGTGTAGGGGGGGGTGTGGTTGTGTGCGGGGGAGGGGGGTGGAAGCAGGGACAGAAACTCCCTTCCACTTCCAGTGGAGTCCTGGGTCTTCCCCGGCAGGGAGTGAGGAAGGCAGCTGAATCCAGTACAGGGCTTCCCCCCAGTGCTGCGCGAGTGCGGGAGCTACATGCACACCATGCACGCCCCCATATGCAGCGCTGCCGGAGCCACGTGATTCCGCAGCGCTGGCTGGAGCCGGGTGCCAGCGCCTCTGTGGGGCACGAGCACCCCAAGCAACCCCGCCTGCTGTTGCTGCTGGCAGCAGGGGCTGCACGCCATGTGGAGAAGTGGGGGGTCCCTGCTATCCCTCACATGCACACCCTGCCCAGCTGAGCTCCGTGTTGAAAGTGCCTGGTGGGCTGGATCCAACCCATGGGCCGTATTTTGCCCACCCTTGGTTTAGAGGAAACATGACAAATGGTTCCTCACCCTGGGAATTACAGTACTAAAATGGTCAATACACACAAAGTGGAGTTGTTTGGATCAAATGTAAATTGTTTGCCAGCCTATGTACCTGTGGTCTGTTGATTACAGTGCTTGGTTGTCTTGTGGCACAAGACCTCAGGAAATCTCCTTAGACTTATTATATAACCTCAAGTGTCAAGTCACTTACTCTCTCACCACCTCAGTTTCTCTCCTTTGTAACCAGAGATCAACAGTACTTCCCACCTTTGTAAAGCATTTTCACATTTAAGAGCTTAATGTTACCTGTACAGCTCGATCTGGGTGACCTAAGGGATAAGAACAGAGACAGTTTCTGGGGGACTGAAAGGTTTTTGAGTTTGAGGTTTGGCCTCTCTGAGCCCTTTTTCTTCCTGCCGATAATT